ACACAACCACCGGAACAGTGTTCTGGACGGCGGGCGCACTCGACGGCACATTCACCGCAACCGACGGCACATTCACGACACCAACTGATGGCACGTTCAGAGAGAGTGCCGGCACTTCACTGATGGAAGCGGACGGCCTGTTGTGGGTCCCAACGGGTCTGTTGACCACAACCGGTCGGTTCAATATGAGTGTTGCCACGGGATTGGGAACCGAGTTCTGCTTCACCTCTCTTTCAATCACTACTTTTAAAGCAAAAATAAAAGTTTAGTTATTTTTCAGATAAGATATAATTAAATGACAAATTTATTACTTATTTTTTGTTGATTATCACCGCTTCGGATGTTCTCAATGCCTGATCCGACGGACGCCGACTTAGCGACCGCTGGAATCGTTTCGCTCAACAAATTTCCAGACATTTCTTCGCCGAAAACGACTGAAAATACTGCAAACACACAGAAAAAGAGGATTGACTTCATTTCTGGCAATGAATGCGTGAATTAAATTCAAAGTTTTATAAATAGGGAAACTTTTCTTAGAGGAAACCAAAAGTTTAAATGTATTGGAAGTGCTTTCAAGACAAGCCTTTTATAGTTGGGAAAAGTTTTGCACTAAAAAGGGAAGTGAAGAGTGAATGCATTTAATTGGCTATTAATGGACAGTAAGTTCATTGAGAAGTTCATTGCCCTCACAATGACTGACCACTCAAACGGATTAAAAAAGACAATAAATCCAAAGTTAATCCAATGGATAAACTTTTTTGTTTCCGGATATTTAATACAAAAGTGATGTGAAATGCATTAGTGGTTATAATAGGCATACAATCCCTGACAGTATCCCTGAAACGCCACTTATATTGTCATTATATGCCATAACGTGTGGAAGTGGTGGACATTAACCCCTTGTAAGACAAACTTATTAAACAAATAGATGCTTATGACCACTAAATATGCATTTGAATTTATGTGCATGTTCAATTTATAAATTATGTATCGTATGTAATATAGAAAATCAATGTTTAGAAGTTGATTAAACATTTACAAAGTAATTAAAACTAATAATAGACTAAAAGGGATGCAAAAACAGGCGTAAAGTTTGTCACAGTATTTATGTATGAAATGCTAATAATATGTTCAAAACATCACATGATTTGAAGGCATAAACCAAT